CAAAAGGAAACAGCCAAAAAAAGTTAAAAAAAAAGAAAAAAAAAAAAATGTAAAAAACCAGAATAAATAGGAAATAAAAAAAAATCTCCCCCAAGTAAAAAAATAAGCTGTCTCAAACAGACCAAATAGTGTTATTGTGGTTGTATGGTTACATTAATATTATTTTTCCATTACATTTTAATAATAATTTAATTAAAATAAAAAATACTATGGTTTTCTTTTTTTTCCTTGCTTAATATTTTTTAACCATTTTAAGCTCTTTTCTTTGACAAAATAAAAAAATACATTAATAATAATAATAATTAAAATTGTTGCAGTCTCCCTGCTCCCTTGGTTTTCAATGAGGACAGCATGAAACTGGCATGCATCAGAGTGATATTGTTAGGAACAACAAAGGCGTTTCAATACAGTTCTCAATGACACAAGACTCTACAAAATACCTATGGTGTAGGTCATTCTTTCGTTATACTATTGTTAAAATACAGACTACAACAAGAGGACATGCTTTCCTAATGATGGGAGGGAGGGAGATTAAGAGAACAGAAGAGTGCACTTATTTGGATCCTTGGGAAGGAAGTTAAGTAAATGGGTCACTCAATTCCAACGGAATGAAATATGCCTTGGGCGATCACCTCCCTCCTTCACCAGCGGCTTGTGGAACTCCCGCCCTGCACGGGAGTGAATAGCAGCCCAGCAATATTCACAGTAATACTGCAGACAGGTAACATTAGCACAGAAGAATGGAGCAAACTTGCCACTGCAGCGAGCTCCTTGACACTCATCACACAACTGATCGTCCAAGACATATGGCTTCACTTCCACCTGTCGGCAAAGAAAAGATCAGAAGAAAGAAAAATGAGAAAGAGATAAAATGTTTATGAAATAACAATCAAAGTTGATAAATAAAGGGATAGTACATAAAAAATTGGTTTTTAATCTTGGGTTGGAGCTGGAAGGATCAAACATTGGCTAGCATCTTCCATCTCTCAGGGGCTCCTAGGAAGGTATCTGAGCTTGCCTGAAAGGCAAGAACATTCAAACACCGCATGACCTTTTACCCTCTGAAGGCCTTAAGCAATGGCAGCTTCAATACTACCATCCTAAGAGGTTACTTTTCAGACAGGTGTTTAATTTCTTACATATCACCTTAAAGCAGGGGTCTCAAAACCTCTGGCCCTCCAGCTGTGGTGGAACTACAAATCCCATGAGGCATTGCAAGATTCTCACAGCCACGACTCCCGAAGAGAGATGCATCATGGGATTTGTAGTTTCACCACAGCTGGAGGGCCGGAGGTTTGATACCCCTGCCTTAAAAAGTCTGATGAAAGCTGCCATTCACCAACCTTCAGACTACATAATAGTACAGTGGCAGAATTCACAGTGCAGCATAATAGCTCAACTATACTGTCACATCCTTAAACTAGCATGCAGTTTCTATCAGAGTGTACCGATATGGCTGATCTGCAGCAAAACAATAACAATGTATAATCTACTATACTGTTGTAGCAATTTTTCTGCTGCTCAGAAGACACACAACCCTCAATGTAACCCTACATTAGTAAAATAAATATGGGTTAAAGGAGAACTATGGGGTAAATGTTTTTTCCCTATAGTTCTCCTAAGGGTCACGGGAGGACACAAACTAGCGTCCTCCCGTGACCCAAAGCTCAGTATACTGCGAGCTACTGCTCGCAGTATACTGAGACCACCGAAGCCGTGACGGATCCCGACATTGCTGTCGAGATCCACCCAGCTGCGTGATTGACAACTGGCTCTGCCCATCTAGAGGCAGAGCCAGCTGTACCCGCCCCCTACAATGCTTGGAAACATAGAAGGTATGGAAGATATCCATTAGCTTTCACTTGGGAAAAAAAAACTGCAAGAAATTGAGGAGCCCACAGTAACCTGCCAATTACAGTTTAGATTGTTTCCACATTTGGAGCAGCTAAGCAATCCAAATAGGGTGGTGGTGGGGGGTTCTTATAAACAAAGGATATCAGTCTACTGAGGCCTGTTTAATTCCATATGGTAATTTTTTTGTGGTATGAAGCTTCAACAAAATTTAAATTAACCCATGAAGACAGAAATAGCTACTGCTGACATGGCATATCATGGCTTTACTATCTTGCAAGTTTATGGCCTGGAAAGAGTAAGCAGCCAATGAAGCCTCAAAATTCTAAGCTCTCATTCTGCATACTTCATTCAAGTCAGTGAAATAGTGAAGCCAGGATCCAGGTCACAAGTCAGAAGCTTGTGCCCTACAATAAAAGGTTAACTCTACATGTATGCCAACGATACAAGAGTATTACATGAGGAACATTTCAGTGGGTCTGTCAGTCATGATGTGGGCTCATGAGGTGTGAGGAGACGGGGAGTGAACTATATTTGCGTGATAAAAAAAAAAAAAAAGTACCGACATAATACAACATATTTATGGTGCAGCAACTTCACAATCATTACGTCAAACAACCGTGACATGTACTAGCCCAATAACACCAATCGGGCGTGCATGTTTATGACATGTACAGGTAACTACTGCATCGTCTATCACTGGAGAACAAGTCTCCTGCCCGTCTCAATGGGCTTTGTTTGCTTCAGGAATGCCCCTTTCTCCATACAAGTCCATAGGAATGCAGAAGCAGTTGAATCAGGTCAAGTGCAGAGTCTGTACATACAGGTTTTAGGATGGTCATTGCAAATATCTGGATGCACAAACTAACACTTTTTCCCTCAGCAACGCTTTTTACCAATCTTCATTTACCCTAATCAGTCTCCTGATAGTCACAATACAATGCCTAAAAGGGCACCATTAGACTTTTGATTTTCTTATATTTTACCTTATTTTTTGTTTGTTTATTCCTACAGAGCTGGTCAAGAGATGGAGGGCATGACCAATGTATCTGTCTCTGCATGGGGATCGATTGCTCATTAGTTACCATGTACACAGAGCCATGGTAGGAGAGACAGATATTTTGGATTGAAATAATATGCCATTAGGTTGTATTGTGTATTTAATTATAAATAAGCTGTGGGTAAGATGAGAAAACACTTAGATGCATGACCTTTAATGCCCATGCTTTGCCCATTCCCAGCCTTTATGACGTACAGATATATTCAAAGTCAGCTTATGCCCCTCAATCAGATTCATAAATTTCCCTATGACATTCAGCCTCGCCCTTCACTACAATCAAAACATATGTGCTTGAGAAAGGGTGAAATTACTTTTCAAGACATGCTATGCAACGTTAAATATTTTTACTAATAACAAATTAGGATAAGAATGCCCCCAGGCTCCAGCCTCTGCCTTGTTAAAGAAGCTGAACGAGCAACAAAATCCTTTTCGGCTTCACAACTGAACTAAAAACAAAGATGAGCATATTGGGAGTCCAAAAGCTGAGCTGAAGGCAGCATTGTAGTAACGTTAAACACAAGGAACTAAAGAACACAGCTACTGCACCGTGGTGTATTGAGGCCACAAGAGACCATTTCTAGTACAGCCTCCACCTTTACTCCTTCTCTGAAAGTAAAGCAGAACACAGACGTGATAGTTCTAAAACCTGAATGAAGAAGTCCCAACATTCTCCAGATTTACAGGTGTACAGGACAAGTACAATGTAACTCACCCGCTTATCGATCTCTCCATGCTGCAGCTGAACAAAGCGGGCACTGATAGCAGCTATATAACTTTGTTGATTGGAAAAGGCAACACGCCCTGCTCCTTTTGGGTATTTCAGTTCAGGGTCGGTGTCTATGCCAGCATAGCATACTCCTCCATAAAGGCGGTCCATTATCATTGCCAACTCCACTGTAACAAAGAGCAGCAACATACATAAACTACCTTAAAGTGGTTGTAAACCTTAACTGATTGAAATGCAATTTGATAAAGAATTGTGAATGCTAAACAAGTGTCTCTCTCACAAGTTGCAACAAAAACACAACCTTCTTCCCTTCAGCTGTTATTTTCCAAATGGTTTAAATCGGAGTTCTGTTTTTTTTTTTACTGTGTAGGGGTGGTGCTGCAAAAACCTCTAAGCCAATGTCAGAATGTTTAGGTACTGCTAGTGAATTCTATCTTATTATCTGTGTAATAAAGTGCCAGAGTCAGTTGAAATAAAATATTAAGCAGAGGTAAAAATGCAGCCAAAGAAACTCAAAATGGCTGATATGCCGTTTGCAGCAAGATTTCACTCACTAGCCTCACTTTGACAGAGCTTGCAGGGTTGTGTGAATCTAAGACCTTGTCTGCTGATGATGTACTCCTATGTGAAGCCCATTTGGTTAAACCTAACTATAAAAACATTGCTGCCTGTATGTATTATTCCATGCAATTAGTATGCTTTACTATTAAGCTGCTGGAGTTATTTCTCCATATTTTTCACATGTTAAAATGCACATTTTATGCCTAAAGCTTACTAAAATCCCCAACACATTATGTATTACTGAAAGTCATACATGATAAAATGGTGGCTGTTGCAAATTTGTCATAGAATACTTTTCATGAAATCTTCTGTAAACAATAAATACATTTTAGTTTGCAACACAAGATCGATTTTTTTTTAACCACTTCAAGACCAGGTGTTTAGACCCCCTTCCTGGCCAGTCAATTTTTCCGTTTTCAGCGCTGCGATACTTTGACTGACGTTTATTCCGTCATGCAACGCTGTACTGAAATACATTTTATACCATTTTTTGGGGACACATAGAAACCGCCCATTTCCCGCCCGCTCAGACCTAGAGAGCTCCCGGCCGGCCGTATGTTTTACTACGGCCGGCCCGGAGGCCGTTAAATAGAAAAGATGAAACAAGTAAATAGATACCAAATATGATTGTCAATACTCACAAGTGCTAACCCCCACTACATGGCAACAAACAATGATAACCAAAACTGACCATAGGTAATGCTTTAAAAACCTTCACAGATGACAAACCTAAAGATAACCACAACTGATGGTCCTAAAGTTATTCATCTCATTCCAGCATGCATGCATGCATATGTGCGTGTGCCAAGGGTTGGGGGACTTTCACATTTTCTTTTCCAACCATTTTCAAATGTCATTTTTTTCACTTAACTTTATTGCCATTACAAGGGGACTGGATAAGTCCCCTATGTTATAGCACTTTTCAAGTGACACGCTTTATAGAGACATTTGGGGTCTTCTAAACTGCCTGCACAGACTACATGTATGCAGGAAAGAAACACTGAGTTGCCTTCTGGGATGTGCGATGTAGAAATACCAGGAGGCTGCAGGCTTCATATATGTACGTCCTGCCTAGATAAGAAACCAGGAAGTGTGAAGGCTACATATCAAAAGAAGAGGGCGGGGGGGTGTGTTTGTAGAAGAAAAAAAAAAAGAAAATGCGATTTTTAATTTTTATTTCAGGGGAAGAGAAATAAACAAGATGATGCAAATGTTTTGGGTGGAAGGTCAGCTTTAGGGCACTTTTTGGTATGGGGTGACAATGCTTTGTTCTGATCTCCTGATTATACTTTTGTGTAGTCACCCAGCCATTTGCGCCCCTAATAAAGACTACAAGTGACCTTTTTGACAAACACTGCACAGGCATGGCCCACTATTGTCACTATCAGAACGCCAGTGTGGTAATGATGGTCAATGTTGGAGCAAAGGCATATAGATAGGAAGTGGCTGAAATATTTATCCTGATCAAAGCATGATAGGTGCAGACCTTCTGATCAGCCCCAATGCAGAAAAAAATTAGTGGTGCCCACTGTCAAATGTGCAACAAATGCAAAAGTATTTATACCACTTCAGAATAACCCTTTTCAAACTCCAATAATTCTTCTTACACGCCTCTAACAAAGTTACATTGATCTGTAAAACTAACTGGATCGATTTCCTCCTTGAATTAATCATGGAGCTTTAGAAAGAAAATACCCTAATAAAATATTTAAATTGAGTTCAGTGCATGGCTACATAGGTTTAATCCTTAGCAGTTTCAGTCTCTGTGCAGGGATCAGTTACTGGATTCCACATACAACCTTGACTCTGCAAAAGGGTAGAGCAAGTAAAGCATGCATCATCTAAACTATGCATGAACAGGTCAGATCTTTCCATCTTCTCAGTGAGCATCAACATCTGTTTGATCATCTGTCTGGGGAAACCAGTTACTTAAAGGCTAGAACTGAAGGGCATACAAATGATACTTTAATATAATTAGATAAAAATAAGCTTCACTTAGTCAAGGAAAAAAAAAAGTTAGCTATAGACTACATTAGAAAATGTACATATACATGGCTAGCTTTAGACAATGAAGTTAAAAAAAAACCCATACCAGCTCTAAGAGGCCTGGGGACACCACCAACAAAAATAGTCTTTCTTGGGTCGAGAGGTTGTGAACCATCCATTACAAAGTCACTGTCACTGAGATTCCAAGGCCGGATTTGAACCTGTTACAAAAGAAACAAGGTTAAAGTATATACACCAATGGAGAACTTAGGTCTTCAGAAAAGGCACAACTAGAACCTATATCCCAGGGCTTTAAAAATGTAAGGCTGTCTCATGTTTAGGTCATTTATTCGCAAGTAGATCTTTTGCTTTAAAGAGCTACAAATGTAGCTTTGTAAAGTGCATGTTTTTAGGAAGAGTACAAAAGGGTGACAAGCGAGGTAACCCACAACCACCAATCAAATTTCACAATTCAGGAAAACATGAACCCTGAGATAATGCTCTTTTTCTAATGAAATAAGGTCAATTACATACCGAGATGTGATGCTACAAAATTTTTTTTTGCGGGGAGAATGGAAGAGAAAAAGACCTGGGTAAGTGCCAAGTTAATCCGTTCAGCGCATACTCAGGGCTAAGGACTCTCTACCCAACGTCTTCATTATGGGAGGATTCCTCTTTGCACTACAGGTTTCCTTTAAAGAAGTAGTAGTGTGGGAAGGGTAAAAATATTTGTTACATCCCCCAGAGGACCCAATGCACATTGCTATTTAAATCTGTCCAGTGGTTTAGGTCCTTCCCAGATTCCTCCTAAAGGGGTGGTACCGCCAGCACTAAAGCTAAACCCCCCTCCAGTCTTCAGCCATACATAGTCCCTTTCTTCATGTGAAGGCTTCTTTATAATTAAAACACAGACTTAGCTTAGACACCGCGACCTGCTATTTCAAAGTAAAGACAGTACAGCTGCAACTGTCTGCTTGTGCTACTGTGAACGACAGTGGCAGCAGTGGAGCGCCATTATTCACAAACACACAAGCCCACAAGAACAGAACACAGATACTACACTGGTTTATCTTGGACTAGTGTAGCATCTTCCTTGTGTTGTTGTGGGCTTGTGTTTTTGTGAAGGACAGTGCTCCTCTGCAACCATCATTCAAAATAACACAGTAGTTACAGCTGTACACTCTCTCCTCTAAAATAGCGGCTAGATCTGGGCTTGGTCTGCGTTTTAATTATAAAGAGGTCTTCAGAAGAAAGCAGAGAACAGGGCTGCAGATGTTCAGTCTGGAAGCTTAGAAGAAGAAGGGGGGAGGTTGCTGTGTGTGTACTGTGTCTGACATGCCCCCTCTCCTCCTATGCTGTCAGTCAGAATTGCCGACTCCTTTGTCCACGGTTGTCAGATAGAAGTGAAGGAAGGCTGGGTGAGCTATCTGACAATGGTGCTCAGCAACCCCTGCATATATATGAATGGGGACAACTGCTATGTGCAGTGGGTCCCCTGTGGTGTACTACTTTAATAACTAGACTCACAACCCTTACAGTGTTGGGTACAGTTTGCTAGTGTCAGGAATTCACCAGTATACATATCTATAAGAAACAGTCAAATACCCCTCCAGGACATGCAGCCTAGCTTGTTACTGTGTTCTTGGCTTCTCCTCCTTACATCATGTATATATTTATTCACTCATAGCACAATAGGTTTCTCTATATTTAAAACCCGACACATGGAAATATAAAGAGGTGTGCTTCAGGCTCAGGCAGGTCAGAAGACAGAGGAAACCGAGGTAAAAGGACACACCTCAGACATGCATCTTTCACTCCCTAGTTCAACGTCTCCTGAATTTCCATGACATTTTCTTAAAAGTTAAGTGGACAGCTTTTAATTGTTAAAATTTTTTACCATCATCACCAGCATAAACATTCACATAAATACTAAAAACAAAAAGGAAAGGAGTATCTTGCACACAAAAAAAGAAAATCCAGAGGTTTTCATCTATTTTACACAGTAGGCATTACAGCTAATAAGCTCGTCACAACCAGGACATCGAAAAGACTTTGAAGGCTGGCTTCGTTGTGGAATGAAGAGGATCGTGTGAAGTGTACTTGAATCTGTCAAGCACAGTACAAGGCAGGACGTTCCACCCAGTTAAAGCTTTCAAGTTCCCAGGTAAACACTGGAGGTGTTTGAAATGAAGATTTCTTTAGTGAGCTCAGCCATTTAGGTGGTACTTCTACTTCAAACTCAGATAGTACAGGTGACTACAAAGAGAAAAGATGACAGGTCTGTAGAATGAATACTCACAGGTTTGTCTTTAATCGTAGGACTCGAAACACAGAGATAGAGCTTACTATCCTCTTCAATGCAAGCATCGATCAGAGCCTGCACAGAGCTTTCGTCTTGAAACAGTAGAAATGCATAGCCTGGATTAAAAAGGGAAATATTAAACTTTAACCTCCAACAACAAATCAGTATTTTTACATTAGTCCCCATGTACCCTAGAAAAGTCTTCTATAGTTAAAAGCTGACATTTATTGTGGTTGTTTGCTTGAAGTAAAAGGGTGATATTTGTACTTCCTTTAAAATATTTTTCTTGATATCCATTAAGGGGCACAGGAATGTAGTATATCTTACACATTTGATTTATACTGTCGCCTTCAGGGGGTTTGTGAGCAAGCAGTACATAAAGCCAATAACTCAAAAGGGGTGGGACCAGTGTCCCTGAGGGGACTTCAAGAAAAAGATTTTAAGTACAAAAATTTGATTTTCTTTAACGTCCATTGAAAGACTCAGGAATGTAGTAATTCTTAGACATTCGGGGCATCCAGACACAGTCCAACGAAGGGGTGGCGAAAAGCCACCTACGGATCCAACACATGTATAATCTTACTAAAAGGAGTATCTGGTAAAATTAATGCCTGAATGAGGGCTAGATGAAAATAGTGGCATAAAAAAATATGAAGAAACAGTTGCATACGAAATAGCTAAAAAAACAGACTAACAGTTAAAGGTGGTCAACAAAAAAGAATGTGTATTGAGACAAAGGCCAAAGCTTGGACACCCATCCCTTTACTGCAAGAAAAAGATGACTGGACAAATAAGGCATGTCCAAATCACAAGATAGTCAACACAAGAATGCTTATGTGAAACACCTTTAATCCTTCACTTTAGGGAAAGAAAGGGCGGATGGACAAGGTATGTCTAAACAGAGATGGCTAACAAGTTAAAAGCAGGAGGTGGAAGTGGAATACCCTTATTGTTCAGGGAGAAGGAGGTCCACAGTATGAAGGCTGTACATGTAAGTTAAATAATGTCTCAAGAGATCAACATGAATATGACAGTCCTCAAAGCCACACATGTGAATGGAGATAGGGAAAATCATAAGCAGGAAAAGGTAGTAAGCCTATAACTCTTCAAGGAAAAAGGTGAGATCTGCAGCACCTATATTAAACGGTAGATAGGGAGAATATTTTGTAATTAAAAATAGGCGTGCAAGAACATCAGGACCAGAAGGATGAGGATTCCTTTCAACTCACAACCATGGGTGTTTTCAGGGGTGTGGTAGCCACACTGCAGTCTGCCTGACCGATTATTAAGACATGATTCTGGGAACCACAAAACCTAGCCCTGTAAATGGCAAATTCTGCTCAGAGGAGCTAGGAATAGGAATCCATGTACTAGCACTAGGAACAATTAGCCAGTACTAGTTCCCACAAAGGTCTTAAGACTTACAGTATCCCATTGAGGAGAACTCTGTAGCTGAGCAACAGAGTGTCCTGTCTGACCTTCCAGGGGAGTAAGATAGATATTACCTTGTAAGGAAAAAGGAAATGCACACATGTACATAACTCTCACCACTTAAAATGGGGAGAAGCATATGAAAAGATGTGAAAACAATCCCTGAGTTTAGAAAAAGAAACAGTCTACTACACTCAAGGAGAAGGAAAGATGATGCATCTGTAAGGAGAATCCTTCCAGGATAAGAGATTGGGAAGGTGATAATTTCCCACCCTACTCGAGTTTGGCAAATAGTTAGCAGGACCTGTTGGTCCAAAGTACTAATTTTATGCATTGCCCAGTTTCCACATTTTCCAATTTGGGAGGAGAATTCAGGACTCTGATTTTTATCAGCGATAACCTCACGGCATTTCCCGAGGGGGAAGCTATGAAAAAAAAGGCAGAAATACTTCATATACTAGGTAAAGCCATGGGTAGATAGGGTTTGAAAAGTCAATCATCCAAAAAAGTGCCAACCAACTTAATGGAAAAGGATTCCAGCATTAATAGGAGTGTGTGATCGAATGGGATAACACTCTCAAGGATACATTTCTATGAACATAGTAATCAGAGATCCCAAGGTGCAGGAAAATCCCACTATTTCTGGAAGAAAATGCACAAGAGATGCAGTGATGCCAGAATGGGCAGACATATAAAGAGGTCTGCTCCAAATAATCAAAGTGGCGCTACAAGAGGAACTTGAGCAAACAAAATGCTAGGAGATAACTCAGTAATGGAATTGGCAGACAAACAAAAACTACTTCCCACTTGTAATAGTGGAGGAGTATCTTTTATACCAAGGGTAAGCAAAAGGATACAGAGGACATTTGGTTTCAAGATTTGCGGCTTGAGTGGGAGGTAGATGGAGAGTATCCAAGAGGTACTACTGAAGTAGAAGAATTGGGTTTCATGGACCAATCCCAAAATCTCCTGCATTGAGGCAGGCGCACATTCTGAGCACTAAAAGTATCAGGAATAACCGTATTTGTGGCAGAGCTGAAAAGACGTTTACCCCTAATTGGTGACTGTTTCTTTATTGTATCCTCGCTGTGGCCAGCATAAAGCCAGAGTGCCCTATGCATCTGAATAGACATTATACCCATGTAAGACACAAGCTTAGATGCTTGTAAAAGACCATCGCAACTGTATGCAGGGTTTCAGACATTTGTTCGAAAAGATCCAGAACACGAGGTTCGATTCTTGAAATAGAGCAGTCTTGTTTAACAGACATGGATGGAGTTCATCCTCCAAGGACATGAACAAAAACTGAGGCATGACAGACAATTGGAGGCAGGGTTATGCAGGGGCTGAATTAATGTTTTTTTGCCCGTTGTCAAACCTCCTGAAGGTTACATAGTTACATAGTATTTGGGGTTTAATAAAGACATACGTCCATCAAGTCCAACCCATATAGGTCCAAGGTAGAAGTATAACTCAAAGGTCTAAGAATGACTACATTCCTGTGTCTCTCAATGGACATTAAGGATAGGCATTTACCATCCTCTGAAAGTAAATCTGTCAGTTAAAACTATAACTAGAGAGTCAACAGAAATTACATTTAAATCTTGACTTTTTCTGCAAAGATGGTTTTGGCTTTGCCTATCAAGCCTTGCTATTGATCATTTTATATGGTGGTTCGTATCACTGACCAAAAAGAAGCAGTGTAGCATGGGACCAACTTCCACTTTTAGGCCTCATTCACACTACCGCGCAACATATGCAAATAAATGGCTCCATACACATAGCCGCGTATGAGCCGTATATTTGCGTAGCGCAAAAACAGAATGGAACCGAGATGCGTCCGGGCAACGTATCTCTGCGTATTTTACGCGCATACGCATGTTTGCGCGTGTATACGCGCGTACAGTTCATTAAAATTTCTTCTAGGAATGATGCATTCTGGGAATGCAAATAGGCGCTCGTATATATGCAATATACAATTTTGCTCTTGCATTGTGTGTGAATGAGGCCTTACAGGGAAATTTTCAGATCTGCATATAACTTCAGCTATCCATATCTTTAGTTCTACTGTGGTATTTACTGAGGGGAACTACTACATTTGCATTGTTTCTGCACAGGTTCAGCCACAATTAGTCAGGTTTCTCACAGGATTATAACAAGTCTTCTGCCATTACATCTAACATGCCTTATGTTTGAGTTTTACACTAAATTTGTACACAAAGAGCTCCATTAAATCTTTAGCTTACCCTTGGGAGGAAAGTAAGATTTGCTTTCTGCTTTGTGTGGCCAATCAACGATCAAAGGGCCAAACCGACGAAAACTAGCAGTGATTTCATCTGAAACAAAACCATATAGACACAATAATCATTATGAAATACAATAACTATACATTCTCAAACCTAAAAATGAATACCTGTATGACATAATTACATTAGTTTACATATAGATTTCTACCTTATAAAATGTATGGTTTCCTCAAATATGAACATTATGTAGCACAATGTATCTTACATTAAACTCAGTATTGAGTTTATGGGGAGTTTAATAAAAAGATATATTATGTATCATAATGTTCATATTTGAGCGACATATTCCTGAACGCCACATTCCAAATCCTGGTAATATGTTGGTCATTATTATTAAGCCTACCCAATTATAAGGTTGAAGGTTATGACGAAGCTCCGATGGGTGGGGCAAAACGCGTCGACCAAAGTATGTTTGACACACAAGTTATGTGACCTACACACAAGGTTGCTCCCTTAAGGATTTTCTTTTCAATGAAAATGGCGATGAACAGCAAGCGATTACCCTGAAATATACCACGGGATAAAACCATATCCACAAGTGATAAACCACAGGACTATGGAATATAGCGGAAAATTTTTGGGTTCCGAGACCTCTAACCATGAGTACAACCAACCATAGAAACACCACAAACTAGTACTCTAGATGTCTCCTCATTTACGATCTATACCAGGATCACAGTGGTATCACTAATTTGAATATTCAGGAGTCGTTGAACGCCCACCATCCCTGCTGATCGATACATAGTAACATACACTAATGTACACATCACCCACGGACTGCAACACTTGGATGAGTCTGTTTACAGGCTACCTCGATCTCAAGGGATTCTACTATATCATATATGAGATTAATATCCTTTATCATCATCTTCTCTCACATAAGGATAGGAAAAATGTGCATAATTTCCTTTAGGCTATACTCTAAAGGAAAACAGACTATGAGCATCTAGACCCTCATTGTGATTGAGAATAGAAGTTCATCTCCGGATTCAATCATCACCTTTTGAAGAAACCGAGGAATCCAATATTGCCTTAGTGTGTGTGGGGCCCATTGAATGAATGAGTGAGTGATTGAGTGCCATGTACAACGTTGTTTTTTTTATTACAAATCTGGGAAGCAGTAAAATGTTTCACATTTTTGTAAACAAATAAAGTTAATATTTTTATACGCAGATGCTGGTCTCGGTCTGTGCAGTAACCTCTGATTCCAGTGTTTCTCTATCGCTGGAAGACCTCCCTCTTTTTCTTCATGCAAATTTGGTTAAAAGACCTTGAGAACTAGCTCAATTCCTATAGAAAGGGATTATTTAGCAGTGTCGGATCTCCAGAAAATACCCCCCTTGCCTTCTACCCAATTATACCAACCCTAGGTGAAAAATCCAGGATTATTTTCCTTGCTTCTCTACTCCGTGAATCATGTGCACGTCAGGTGTTCAGGCATCTTACATGCAGATTTGTTGAAGGTCAGAGATTCAATGAGTACAGGAGGAAGAAATATGCCAGTTTACACCTTCAAAAATCTTCCTGCAGTGGCAACCCCATTTTCTGACCAAAAGGCAAAGAGGATTTTCTGACTTTAGTCAGAACTGCACCCAGCCTTCAATATTTCCATAGTTGTCACCAAAGATAGGCCCTGTGTTGAAGGCCTTTTGTTCATGTCAAGCTTGATGGAGGTCAAATGCACCCGTCACTAAATTATGAATGGCCACAAGCCCAAACCCTGTTGGCACAGTCTCTTATAGAGATTGGTTCTATAGAGGTGACCATACATAAAGGATCCTTCACTTCCAATTTTCCAACTTTATTTTTTTTTTTTTAGGCTAGGTTTTTTTTTTTTTATGAAAACATTTTTTTTCATTTGTCGCAGTAAATTTCTAAAATATTTAGTTTTTTCATTTTAAAAAAAGTTGAAAGATGTCATAAATTATATGTATGGGTAGCATAAGTGTTAAGAATTCTTGTATACTATCCCAGAAGTGCCTTTTTCTAAGCATGTATAGGACATATTTTTCATGCATTGAGGTGTATTGACAGACTATTCAAAAACATGTGCATTGCAGCATACTGCATTATGGTGTTAATGGGCCCGAAGACAATGTAAGGTTCTCTAAAGCACTGTGGAGACCAGGCAAACCCATGCAGGAATTAAGTTATCTGCTTTACATCATAGTTAACAATAAACAGCTGTTTCTGAGCTGTCAAATGGTGGACATACACAAATAAAACATTTAACAAAAACCTACAACTGTAAATACGAGTAAAAGGGGCCTACAAACATATGACATTCTTTAAAATGAACCTAGTGCCACTTATTTTGCAGTACAACTTTCACGCCCCAATCAGGGACACCATTTGCAGAGTTGCTACATTCGCTCTGTGTTTAACAGTTTGGGTAATTCCAACTAAGCATTAGGAAAAAAACAAACAACACACACACATAGAGGTTACCTTGCACATAACAGTTATCGAATCCAGAGATAAAGGCAGCGGGAATTATATAAGCATATCCTGACTTCCACTATAAAATTAGGTGTGGGTCCACCCCTCCAGGGCATAATAATTTGAGGATGGCCATCACTTTAAAAGACCAACAGGCTCAGTATGTAGGAGAGCATGGGGCATAACGCCGATTTCACAGAAATGGTCAGGATTTGCATACAAGTTGTTCATATTTCTGAATCTACAGATCATTTGCACATGTAGTTTTATTGAATGTAAACTTCTACATATGCATTTTTTTCATTATATGCTCAGTTGGAGCTGCCAAAGTTTCTGACATGTTTACTTAAAAAGATGTTCATACACAATGTTTATAAAGATGTGAGTAGCGCCAGGGATGTCCTGTAATGTCTCATAAGACCACAGTTACCATAACACAGCTAAAGATCACGGTTTACAGTTATTCCGTTTACAACCATCCTAGTAAAAAGAACTGAAATGCTTGGTTTAATGAAAGTGTTCTTTTGCTACCTTTCCCATGTATCATTTACATCAATGTGTGAATTTTATGCTGTTAAAATATGGATAACAGGGAGTGGATCTAGCAGATATACAGGATTTACAAGAAAGAAAAAAGGTAGGGTGAAAAAAAGAAAAAAACACAAAGTCATAACTATATAGTAAAACTACAACATAGTAGAATGTGGATCCAGGGATTTATCCGACTGCCACTATGGATCAGGAGGGATTATTTCCTTGTTAAAGTGAATTACAAAACATTTATAATTTTTTCCTTACTCTGGATCAGTTGACCGATCCTACAACTCTTTCAACCTATGCAACTCCGTTACTGTTTAACACCAGTCTACTCTCAGTATAGTTTGCTAATCTAGCACTACATCCCATTGCTAAAAAATGGCAACCATTAATGGCACCAAAGACCCTCTGTGTGTGCTTATTCTGGTGGTGTAAGGACTTTCCACTGGAATGAACAGATACTGCAGCATTATTGATCCAAAAGGGAGGAATTTGATGGAGAAATTTGCACAGGCAGGTCACACAGTCTGGATCTTGTTAAAGGGCATTAGAGCCCAATAAGCCCACTTAGGGTCATGTGTTTTTTGTGCTGCACGTTTTCGAGCAGATTGTGACAAACTGATTTCTATTGACTCTATGGAGACAAAACCAAATGTAACATGCCAAACAGAAACTCGTGTACTTTTTTCAGCGACAGGCGTTTTGCTTACTGTGACAAAACGCTCAGTTGTGAACAGGGGCCATAAGAATGAATGGGATTTTTTGTGTGAAACATTTTGTTGCGCTTATTCAGCTGCAACAATACGCTTGATGTTAACCAGGCCTAAGAGAAAATCAAGTTGGGTTTACACTGACAAGAATTAGCACAACTTTCAGAAGTCTGCAGCTTGACTGTTACTATAACAGGTATAATTGTCATCCATAACATCAGAAACGTTTGTTTGGACTACGTGGTCGACCAATATGGGTTTTTTAGAACGGATACCGATCATGTGCCACCTTTCAGGTCCATAACCAATATCAGTTACCGATATTCTGTTTACATCCGGCTGCAGAATCTTGCACCGGCAGGTGACCAGGCTATGTGTTCATCTGCCGGCGGCAAGATTCCATAGCCGGCAGCTGAATGTAGACAGCAGGCCCGATATCAGTGGACCCCTACTAGTGATGGCATTGAAGGGAACCACACTACCGGCCCCCTTCCCACCACATCCCCTATGTCCATACTTGAGTGACAGCTCTGAGTTTCTTGGGGCTTCCAACATCACATTCAAGATGGCGGCACACGGTAGCAGCCTGAGGGCTTTTGGAAGATTTTACAGGTAAATAGCATGCCTAAAATATGTTAAATGCACATATAATCTAATGAGAAAACTACTGCTGAAATGAATGGTCTGACAGGCTTTTATTCACCTTTTTTTTTTAACTTACACACTTTTCCTTCATACAGCTAAATCAAGTCAAGGATGACCTGATGCAACCCCTCTGTAGAGCACAGATACTGTTGGAATAAAATTGACCTGGTCAGCTGCTTAAGCTAAGTGCTAAACCATGGATGTCAGCAAGCCAGCGATTGTAGCATTAACACTCACCACTGCCTTTCAAACAGGGAAACATATTAAAATGGAATTGAGACAAGTAGTGGTGTTACAATAGCTATAACAGCCCACACGGCTGCTATAGGGCCTGGGCATGGAAGGGGGCCCTATTGGGGCAATATAAAAACATAGAAAATCTGAGTACATGTGAAGATAAACACAAATTCAGTAATGTACTATTAGGGGTTGCTGATGACACTGACCCTGTTCCCCCTGCAACATTTCCAATCAAGAAGAGATGTCAGACCTACAAGAGGAGACTTTAGTATCATTGTCCTTGTGTACAGATCCCCTGTGCAAGCTTAGCAGTAAGGATTTGATTAGCTGTCTTAGTATTGTAGATTTATGGCCTTCAGAGCTTTTGGTCACCCTGGTCAGCACTAAAATTAACATTGTATTTCTAACACAGTGTCTCCTCAGCTACAAAATGATGCAGTTTGTAGTTCTGCTATTAAACACTCCACAATTTAATATCCATCTCTGGGGAAACCCCCAAAAATAGTGCTAATTTTTTTGTTTTTGTTTGTAGAGATGGGCTTTAAAGAAGTTTGTATTAGGGTTATAGAGTAATTGTGTACAGTAAAAGCAAAAGCACCTGCCATACAGAGCACCATAACACACAGACGTGACTCCTTTCTACATTGTGGTGTCCAAAAATAGCAGGTGCGTTTCATGCATTAAAGTTAAAAGTGTAGTGTACACATATAATACTTTCCTATGTTCCCCGCCTTCCCCGATAAACATGCAAATTATTTTTTAAATCAAATAATTTCATTTTTAAGAAACATCTCTTTTGAGACCCAGCAATATCATTACTGCGTCTGTCTGCTGGCCTTTGCTCCCTAGTAAGATTGAGTTTAATTGGAGAGGCAGGCAGCACCTTGCCTCAAGCATTACATGAAAGAACACATCTCCGGCCCACCTTTAGACATGCTTACCTGCTGGGCACTGTTGATTAGTTGCTCGATTACACCCTAATAGAATAGAACTCAGAGTTCGAGTTCCAGAGTGTAATCAAGCAACTGATTAGCAGATTGAACCGCTAAAGTCTGCAGCACCCAACAGGGATGCATCTCTAAAGGGATGCCCAGAAAATGTTCTTTTACATAAAGCTTGGGAAGGGCAAAACAGTGACTGGCACCGACCCTGAAGATCAAGCCCACCCACACATAACCAAAAACAAAAATAACCGATGGCAGAAAATCGTTGTAAGGTGGGCTAACGACAGCACTAATCAGGAGGAGAGAGAACTCATGGTTACTGAAGTAGTTGAGACAGGTAATGAAGCTGCAGAAAACAGGGAATTGACGGTAATCATTTTTAACACAGGACTTGCTACAAGTGTGGAAAACATGTAAGGCTGGAGTTCAGCTTTAAACCCTTTCACTAAAAATCACATAAGCATGCAGCTCTGAAATCATTTTACATTCGTTAAACTTGTTTTTCATTTACTTACAAATAGGAGTTCATCTACTTCCTGGTCCACTTTGGCACAAATGATGTAATCGTGCCCAAGCATTGCATCCTGGGAAGATTACATCAGCAGAGGATTGCTTGGAAATCTTATCTGCAATCACACAGGATCTCAAGGAGAGGCGTTTTCCTCCCCTGGGATGATGTGCATTGTCACATATCCTAGTCACATGTGCCAGAGTTCCAGGAAGTAGAGGAAAATGGATCTGCCCTTAGTAAACATGGCCACTGTCAGAGGACTGGGGAAGAAAAGAGAAATAAGGTATGCAAAGAATACAAAGCCTGCAATTATCTAGTGGTATCTGTTTGTAGATTGTCGTTACGAAACATTTCTAAAAGGTGGCTTTGTTGTTATTCTACAGATAAAGTTCCTCTTTAAAGTGTATTTCCACCTTTGCAGCCAAATTAGGATAACACCTATTATATATTTCTTACATGTTCCCATTGACAAAAGCGAATAAAAAACAAATGCTTCTTGCAGTTTAAATTGCTTTTACTTGGGTCAGGATTTCTTGGCTTCTTACGGGTTAAAGTGTCTACTTGCCTCTCCTCCTTTGTAATGTTAGGAAGGGGGTTGTCAGAGGTTTGTTCATTATCATTTGTAAAGTAGATTTGAACATGGCCTGTCTTAACAAAGGGTTAAAGGATTAAAATCCTGGCTTGGGCATTGTATGTTAACGAGTTAATGAGAGAAACACAATCCTCAAAATTCCAGTCCTAGGTCTTTCTATAGGGATAGATCACTGTTAAGGTGCTCAGAAAAAAAAACTGGATGCAGCCATGTTGCCTACTGAAACACCTAAAAAGGTTAATATTTAAAAGAAAAAAAAAAAAACTTTCATTATGCTGTGTGAATGGGAACACAAACAGAGGTTCTCTCAAATTTTACAGAAAAAATGGAAATTAACGTTTGTGAAAGGGCTGCCCTACCACAAAATCGTGGTTCGGTGTGAATCTTCCCCAAGCCATACAGTGTAATACATTTCTACTACACCAGTTAAGGGAATGTTATTGAGTAGAAGCTCCTTCACTTTAAATACGCTTCCATCCTCAACAGACAACAGAAATGGAGAACGATTTTTAAACAAGTGCCTTTGTTTCATGGCTGCCCTGCCAGCCCTTTTCATTTTTTCCCTCCTGAGATATGGGAATTCCATTAGCGCAGGCAAATTAGATTCTGAAATCTCCAGATACATAAATGAAGCCTTTTCTTGCCATTTCGTCTAATCTGCTAATCAGGTAGAACAAATACAGTCTCTGGTATTATATACGCACAAAAGACAGTCTTGCATTTGCTTTTCCATACGAAGGAGGTGGCTGTGATGTTAGTGCTGCTTCACCATGGGGAAAAATAAAAGTGAAGACGTTTTGTGTTTAATCAACATAACCATTCTAACCTGTGTAATTGTTATGTATTTTTCCAGAGGCACAAAAGTATGCCTCTTTTTTTTTTACAGCAGCAGAGCCGCCGGACAATAGAAAACTGTTGGGCGGAACTAGCTGTCACTGCTAGCTCCGCACAATCGTTTTCTATTTACTTTTTTTTACTTTATTCACTCTTTTTCTGTTCTGCTTGGTCCCTCTGAGGGACTGAGCAGAACAGTCGAGTCGAATGCCGCTCAGCGGCATTCGGCTATTCACTCACTGCTGTTCGGCATTTTTAAGAATAGCCCGAACAGCAGTGAGAAGCCTGCCGGAGGTTCGGCTCGATATTTTGAAAGCATGCTATCATATCTGAAAGCAGAAGTATGCAAATAAATGCTATTTTAAGGACATAACCACGCATAACAGATTATTCAATTTTAGAGGAATCCTGACAGGTCTCATGTGCAAGCTTCTTAAAGCAAACCTGTGTTTTTCCCCATTAAAGGGGAAAGACTTGTTATATCTGTTCACGAAGTGCAAAAAAAACAAAATCTGTTGATCATGTCAGAAATTCAGAGCTATCCTGCGTTTTGGGCACACTTCATGTGTTATCTCAAGGAGATCATTTAGCTTTCCCAGTGTTCACCTGGCACTACAGAAAGTTAAGTGCCTCTGTTGTAGAGATTAGTAAAATGGGAAGGTTTGAGTAGATTAGCAAAACACAACTGGGCAATACTGATACTACTAACTCTACAAAAATGCTGTGTGCTATCAGCATACAAGAGCACTTGGGAGCTGTATTTCTGGCAGATAGACATTTTTCAGGATTTGCAAGATCATTAAATGCATTAGACGTGGGGAAATGTGCATGTATTGCAGAGATGTACTGCATGTGTTTTCTTCTATTAGTTTGCCCTGACAAACACTTTCACCCCTCCATCAGCATATAAATTCCTTCACCCCCACCACCACTACCTTATATACCCCGGACTTACAACTATGAAGGAGCATGTGCCAATCGGCACTGTCACAGGAGAGCCCATAGCCCTGTGTCAGCTATGACTCCAGTTACTTAGGCTCCATTCACACGAGCGGTTTTCCTGCGCAAAACATGCTAAACATAAAAAACAGTGCATTCCAATGTGAAATGTTTAAACTAGGGCGGCGTCCACACGGCACGAAATGCGCGTCCTGCAAAAAAGTCCTAGAGAGATTTTCTCGACAGATCCCATGCATATGTAAACGTTTTCATACCGTGCGGAAAATGCTACCGCTATGTGTGAATGGAACCTTATAGTTTACACAGAACATGTTTTTTACTGAGTGACAAGGGGAGAGAGAAAAGGTACCCTGTTTCCCCTAAAATAAGACCTACCCCGAAAGTAAGACCTGGCACTCTTTTTTCCAGATTCCTGTAATATAAGACCTACCCTGAAAATAAGACCTAGTTTGGTGGTAGCATGTGAGGGGGAACTTGAAGAGCAGGTGGTGGTCTCAGCCTGCAGGGACATACTGTAATAAGGGGATGACAGGGGACTCCCTCCGGCCAGCGCAGTGACAGGGAGCACTCCGGTACCATACTTCACCAACTGCTGTCCCCCTGAAGGCGCTGCGTCATGTAATGGTACTGTAATGTGTACCGGTAAATGGTACCGTACTTTACCGCACTGTCCACTGTCTGATTTCCCCACTGCTGCACTGCTGGTACCACTGTCCCTGATGGCAAAGGAAGCCAGCGCAGTAAAAAAGCAAGGCTGCGGCGGCGGATCGAGCAGGCCCGCATTAGCCGATACTTCCTCTCTATAGCGCCAGTTACTGTGACAGGCGGAGTGATACCAGATAACTTTGGATTGTTGTACATTTTGTTGCACATTCAAAAAAAAAATAAGACATCCCCTGAAAATAAGACCTAGTGTGTTTTTTGTGGGCAAAAAAAATATAAGACAGTGTCTTATTTTCGGGGAAACACGGTAGGTATTGTGTCTGTGGAGGTCTACATTAAAGTAGACCTCTTGTTTTGCCCTGCATGGGTAAAAACATAGATTCACGTTAAACTTTACCAGAAAAACAATGTTGTCACCGCTGTCCCAGATCCTAGCACCATTACCTGTCCAACCACCCTACCACAGTGTAAAAAAAAAAACAACAATCATTCTCTAGCTTTCCGTTGAGAGTGGTATCACCCTCCTACTGCATAAAATTAAAGATGTAATTTCTGTAAATCTGTACAGGAGGCAGAGCTATGAAATCAAGGGAAGAACTTGGGTATCTTGGTGATCAAACCCAGAGGAAAAACTAAAAACGTAGCAATCCACTTTGGGTAGACTTCTTAGAAAAGTTGTGGATAACAACAGCAAGTTATAGCAATACCAGCAAATGTTTGTAAGGGGTTCTCACCTTCATCTATGTCAGGTGGTAGACCACCAACAAATACTTTGCGAGAATATCGCTCCACCCTTTCCCCATTCTGGTGTGGAAAACAGTGAGGAGACCCCAAACCGCTGTGCAAAGTTTGATCACTTCGGCCATCGTCCAAGAAGCCATCTTCCATTGGAAAAAGAGAGGACTGGCCTACAAAACATAAAATGTAAAGTTTATTCAATGCAAACAAAATGATAATATAATCTACATGCAGTCACCATAGCATATATATTTAATCACAAAGTAACCCCATTACCTTGTCCCACAAAATCAAAGCCCCCTCCACAGAACACCTGCTTTTCCAGTCGTGCTGCAGTATCCATTGCTGGGGCAACGTATAACAAAAATAAAGGAAATGCATGACACAGGACTTTATTTCGGCAAAGCAGGGGTGAACAGAATCAGCCCCATTTTCACCTATGTACCCAAGCATGTGAAGTGAAGCCGACAAAGAAAAGAGAGCTGAAGAGCAATTCTTCAGCTTTTTCAAATTTTGCTTCAGACATTCTTCTTAGGGCCCTTTCTCAGCTCTGCACGTGGATTATTCAGCACTTATGACACAAGTATGCCCTTTAACCTCTTGCCGTCCGCCCGTTGTAAAAAAACGGACGGACGGCACTGCAGCATTGGCATTTTTTTCTGCGGGCACGCACGGGCAGAAAAGACCCGACCATTGCACACACCCATTACCGGGTGTTTCACATATAGGCAATCAGCGGCTCCATAGCCCGCCGATCGTCTATATGTGCTCGTTCGCGTCCCCAGTGGTGAATAAATACCACCAAAAGAAAGCTCTATCTGTCCCCAAAAAAGGGTATAAAATTAATTTCAGTACAGCGCTGCATGACGGAATAAATGTCAAAGTACCGCAGCGCTGAATACTGAAAAATGGCCTGGATGGGAAGGGGGTTTAACACCGCGGATGTCAACTGGTTAAGAGTGACTTTTTTGGTTAAAGTGCTATAAGATTTTTGTGTTTACCATATATTTCACTGGGACTCCTTTAGGGCTGCAACTAATGATTAGTTTCATAAATTGGATTAGTTGGCTGATTATGTTTTCAATTAATCGGATAGAAAAAATAAATAAATACCATCCGTAATTTAAAATAAAATCCACAAATGCAGTATTACAAAGCTTACTTCAGAAAAAAACTGCTTGCACAATTTTTTGCAATAACACTGCACTGGAACGTATGGCACTGCCGTACCCTGCATTCCAGTGCAGGCAATCACACTGTGGGTAGGAGCGAGTTTGGGGTGCCATTGAAATGAATGGCACTGCAACGCACCTCCCGCAGCAGAATTTGCAAGGTCAAAAACAAAAATTACTTTCCCACCTTTTATATACAAAAAATAATTAATAATTGTATTGTAAGCACATGGAGCTTGAATAGCTTCAGCTGGCGGCTGGCAGTGGCAAGATTCTGCAGAAGGCAGCTGAATGTAAATACAGCAGGTAGTGGGTGCGATAGACAGCCTGTTATTGGCCTTTCCAAATTGCAATAGCCAGTAGTAGGCTGGCTATTGCACCCACTGCTTACTGTGCCCTCCCCCCAGCATGGAGGAGAGAACTAGGGGATCCAACCAACTAATCGATAATGAGAATAGTTGACAAATATTCTCATAAATCGATTATTATGGAATAATCAATTAGTTGGTTGCAGCCCCAGTCTTCTTGACATGGGTAAAGCAAAAATCTAAGCCTCCAGGATAAAAAAAAAAAAAATAATGAACTTAATTCCTTTGATGTTAAACAGGCTTCACAAAAATGAATGGGTTTTTTTCACATTAATTGTGTGTTCCTGCAGGAAAAACACACACCTTCTCTTATAACTACCAAGTTAGATTATTTTTTCTAAAGTGAAATTGTGCCATCACATGAAAGCAAAACTTGAATTGTAAACATTGACATGAGATCTAAGCTAGTCTATATACCATATAAAAGGACATGGACTGGCAACAACTGTGAAGCAGTGGATGGTGCTGGTGTTCCGACTTATCTGAAGAACTATAAGTGTGCACATTGAAAAAGTGAACAAAATATCCGGCAGGCAGGAAAATCTAGAAGATTGGTAATCTAGCTGATTGCATTGCTAGTGAACACGGTGCAGTATATAGCCAACCTGTCTTGTGTATATTAGAATGAAAACAAAAATCAACTTGGGGAAAAAAAAAAAAAACAGGAAAAGTGAAAGCGTATTACTCACTACCACTAAGATACTCTGCTGCGGCAGACCAAACAAACTTCCATCTCCCTTTATTGAGAGAAATGTCTCATCTTCGTGCTAGAAGTGCAGAGTGTATGAGAATTCTGCCAGTCTCATGTCTTGTATGATATTAAGAGACATTAGTAGAGCCTAATACAGACAGGTCTGGTCTGATGGGATCGGAGAGTAAATATTTACAAACTGCAGGAAGAAGCACGGGTTTCCATGTCAGAGATGGTCCACACAATCACTGCTCTGACTCCAGATCCTGGAGCATATGATTACCAAGTAGCATTGTTCATTTATTACTACATGAAAATATTTGACTATGCAATGGGCAATGATCAGAAGAGCAAATACAGCAAAACGAAGGCAGAACAGATGTCTGCTTAAAGGAGAACTATGAGATGAGTGATTTTCACTCACCTCCTAGTTCTAGCCGACCTGTGACAATGAGACTGTCACACTTCGGCTCAGTAGATCGGGAAGTTAGCGAACACATGCCGGTGTTCGCTAACGTCTCGATCCTGTCACTGCAGAGAGCCGTGACAGGGGAGTGACTGGATTCCCCCCTCCCCAGTCCGAGGGGGGGAGGGGGCGGGTACAGCTGGCTCTGCCTCTAGATAGGCAGAGCCAGCTGTCACTCACGCAGCTGGGCGGATCCCGTCATCTACGTCGGGATCCGCTCCGGCTGCGGCGTCTCAGTATACCGCGAGCTGTAGATCGCGGTATACTGAGCTTTGGGTGACGGGAGGACGCTAGTTTGTGTCCTCCCGTTACCCTTAGGAGAACTATGGGGGAAAGCCCTAACCCCATAGTTCTCCTTTAATGCAAGTCCCAAGTAAGAACAATATATTTAAACAAATATATCCTTATGGAATGGTCATTTGAGTAAACCTGTTATAAGAGAAATACAGGGATTGACATTACGGACCTTTTTCCAAAGATGTTAATTACCTGGCTGGCTGACCTCACCCCACTGGCTTTTTCCAACCTAGAACAAGTATGTAGACCAGAAAAAGGCATTAAAAGAGAACTATGGGGTAACTTTTTTATCCCATAGTTCTCTTTAGAGTCACAGGAGGACATATACTAACATCCTCCTGTGACCCAAAGCTCAGTATATAGCGGGCTATTGCTTACTATATACCGAGATCGCCGCAGCCAGGAAAGATCCCGACAATGCTGTTGAGATCCATCCAGCTGCGTGAGTGACAGCTGGCTCAGCCTATCTAGAGGCAGAGCCAGCTGTGCTCGCCCCCTCTCCTGTTCGTTCCGCCAGTCAGCGCTGGAGGATCGGGGAATCCCTGCGGGGAGCGGTGACTGACACTCACCGCTCTCTGCAGGGAGATGATCGGAAAGTGAGGGAGCAACGGTATGTGTTCGCTCACTTCCCGATCTATAGAGCCGACCTGTGACAGTTTAATTGCCACACGTCGGCTCTAACTATGAGATTGAGTAGAAATCACTCACCTCATAGTTCTCCTTTAACTCTAGTCTACATATTTGTTCCAGGTAAGTGACTCCGTACATTGAGGCAAGAGGGCCATTATGGTAGAGTGATTATGGTTAGTACATTATAGCAAGTAGCATTTTCAAGAAGGGTCAGCATTGGCAGGCTCCCTTATAGACCCCAGATGCTCACATACCATGATTGGACTTCCATGGCCTGCCCAAAGCCCTATTTATTTTGTTCACAGTTCTTCTGACTATGGCCATGCATGAGCAGTAATATTCCATAGAGATGCATGGGGCATTCTTAAGACTGGAGATGCTTAGGTGTTCGCCTCACTCATCACTATAGAATATTACCGTAGAACCAGCAAGATGGGAGTTAGCAAAGAACTGCTTGATTTGAGGCCATGATATGGGTTCTGTAATATACAATAATAAACCAGAGGGGTGTGGGGGTCTCTTTTGAATACTACACTTTGTTTAATGTATAGTTATTATTACATTTTGATTAATGGCTCTTTCAATTTTACCCCCTGGGGTTTTCAGGTCCCAGTGACATGTACCATGGAGATAACAATCCAGGTGTTTCTTTTCTTCCAGTACTGGACATTCTTTTTTTTTTTATTTGCTCAAAACAAAACTAATGTTTTAACATAACACGGTTTTAAAAAGATGCCATTTTGGTACCTCAGCTAGTAGGTAGCTGCTAATGAACTAAAGGAACCTATTTCAGAAGGGCACATGACTTTGCCATGCTGTTAAAATAGGTAAAAGAAAATTGGATGGAACCATGACCTTGAAGACAACGTTAATGTCTCCTAAGTACTTATTTCGCCCCACACATGGGGAAAATATGTGCAGGGGGGTCGCCTAAGTAGCGACAGGAACAATTGTACCGTTCAATGACGTATCCTTTCTCCTTTGATGCTCATATGCAGAGCAGATTAGTGCATGCTGATGTTTAGGCCTCATTCAGACAGCTTAGAGTTGGGCCGTACAGATCCGTGTGGTGTGCACAGCCGTATCGGGCTGTTCCCGGGAAGGACAGGTGCTGCGTGTGATTCTATGCAGCAGCCTGTTCTTCCCATTGGGAGGACGTGGCCGTATGCCGTTGTACGCTCACCCGAGCAGGTGTCCGTGCTCGGACGCAGACAGGATGGATCCTGTCTGCGTCCGAGCAAGAACACCAGCACGGATGTGCAGCTCGGGTGAGCGTACAGTGGCGTTCTCCCATAGGGAAGAACAGGCTGCTATGTACAATCACACGCAGCACCTGTCCTTCCCAGGAACGGCCATGCACGCCACACGGATGTGTACGGGCAGACTAAGCTGTGTGAATGAGGCCATAGAGCCTTCTATATACTATCTACTCCACTGCCAAGTGTATTTATAGTGGACCTTTACCCCCTTTGACTAAACATCACATCAGCATACAACTCTGCATGCTGATATGAAATCATCTTACATTCATTAGCTAAACAAACAT